CAAACATTCAACATATAAAACGACCAACCAACAAATAAATAAATCGCTTATTTAATTTGATTACGCATCGAACGGGTTTCCCACCAAATCCCTGCCTCAAATAAATCGAGGTAAACTACACCGGGAGCTAACTAGATAGGCAAATGTCACATGAAGTGACTGGACGTCCTGCGCATAGAATAAATATAAAGGAAAATACAGCATTCTGTACTCCCAGTAGAAGTTATGGTTAAATATAAAACCCCATAACTCCCCTCATATGTTCATATTCAAGGTATATACGTTCCAAGAGTTTTGATGCGTAATCTCTTTCACTTTACATTGTTTACATATTTATTAGACTTGGTGATGACTCCCAAACGCAACACAACCAAACATTATACTTAATTTAAGCAATCAAACTTACCAATTTAATTCTTGAATAATTAGTGACCACATAAATTATATGTTGAACCCTTTTTTAAACTACCTCGGTGTTAAATAACACCTTAGGCGCATAGAACACCACAAATCCTATCCCTCGGTATTAGAAACACCTTAAGTGCACGTAGGCACCACAATATAATTTATCCATGTGTACTAAGACACTTAATTAGCTCCTTCCTCATGCTTATAGCATCAATAAAAATTATATGAACCATCATAAAATTCCCTTTTCATATTCCAAACAAAATTTAACATTTAGTTTAATTAAACATGTTCTCTAACATGGCAATAGTAAAAGTGTGGTTCATATTTAACATGCCGATATAATTAATTCCAATCACCAATTCACCATAAACAATTCATACATCTCAAATAATTCACCAACGCCAAACAAATCACCAAATTCCAACCAATACCTATCATGATACTACTTGGAATTATTTAAACAAAGTCGAGCATGCTTTTACACACTTAAACCATTACCAAGCACGTGAACGTACCTTGAATATGATCTCAAAATCGCCACGACTAAATAAAATCACTCACTTGGAAGTCTCCTACAAACCAAAATTATAAAGAAGTATTAATACCTCTTTAACACAAATTTCCAGCAGTATATACTCTCTTTAAATCACTCATAAACCCTCTAAAATAAGCTGAAATTTTATTAAAAACCCTTACTTTTATTCCCAATTGATGGGTAATTAAAAATCCTTTCAAGAAACCAAATTATAACCTTTATATAAAAATTCCAACTCTATTAAACCATTAAAAATTGTTGTAATGTGTTTTAAAACACTTATTCCAATAATTTAAATCACCTGTAATCAAATTCCATCAATATACCTTAATTTAGAAACCTAGGGTTTTCAATTTGGGGCTTTTTAATTCAAAACCAAATATGAAAATTTATATACAAAATACTTACCATTAAACATCATAAAATCATCATAAAACCCAAATACAATAATTAGATTTAGGGTAGATTTAATTAGAAATAAAAAAGATGATGGCACTTCACCTTAGGTATAATTAAAATAAAGGGGAAGGGGAAATATTAAGGAGAAAAGAAAATAAGAGGAGAGAGAGAGAGCTTACCTTTCAGGTGCACTTCACCTTAGGCTGATGATGGGTGTTTCGGGGTTTTCTATGTCCTTCAGGAGAGTTACAACACCAAGACTAGGATCCGGACGTCTGTACCTGCAAAACAACGGAGACTCCGGATGGGGGAGTTCCTCCTCCAATGATCAAGTTAGAACCGGAATGGAGTCTGTAATAAATGCAGAAATTAATGATCTTCTCGAATTACGAGATTAGGAGTAAATGAACTGCACTGAATGTGCTCGGTTGGTTGGTATTGAATGTGAATGGTTTCCAATGGGGAAACATCTCCCTATTTATAGGGTCTGGAAGCAGGTGCCACGTGTCCAGAGGGGATTGGTTCTTATGAACCACTCTGAAGGTGACACGTGTAACACACTGATTAGGCCACGTGGCATAGGGTATTTTTACCCTAAACATTTGCCCCTCACAGATGTGACGTGGCAGGCCACGTGGCATCTGTGACACTTGTCACCCAATCATTGGCTAACAGCAATAACCGTTCGCCTTCTAGGGGAGTTTGCTGGAATGACCCTTCGTATTACCCTCCTTTATATAGCCGTTCACCCCCCCCCCTCATTTCGTCATTTTCCAAAGTTCAGAAAGAGAGAGAGTCAGCCGGCCTTCAGAGAGAATGATATACACGTTTTATACATATATTTTCCCGAATTTTCACTACGTTTTTGCATGGTTTTAGGCTCTTTTGAGCCATTTCCCACTAATATTCTCTTCTCTAGTGTGTTCGGTGTACTTTTATGAGTTTTACAGGAATTTGGAGTTTACCGGACAATTCGGACATGTTTAGAGCGATTTGGAGATGTTAGTGGACGAGAACGTATAAGCAAGCTAAACAACGAACCAAGACCGAGAAGAAAGAGCAAGAAAAGCGAAGTTTATAGCTGTGCCCGATTGGGCTCTACATGCCCGGTCAGATCGGGCGCAGCAGTGAACTCAGGTTGATGGAAGCTATGAAGAAAGAAGTCGATTTGTGTCATCTATGCCAAGCGCCCGATCGGGCAGCCCATGCCCGGTCAGACCGGGCGCATGGTAGAAGAAGCTTGGCATTGCTACGGAGCTCAAGAGAAGGCAGCAGGATGACTTTGGTCTCGTGCCCGATCGGGCTCAACCTTCCCGGTTGGACCGGGCGAAGAAGAACTCCAGCTGAAACAATTTTCGCGACTTTAATCCCAAGTGCTCGATCGGGCAGGCACAGCCCGGGCAGACCGGGCACAGTTATGGCGCATCTCCGATTTAATTTTTTATCTTTTCTAGGTCTTAAGGGGTATAAATACCTCTTGTAATTATCATTAGAAACGTTTTTCAGTTTTCCATTATTCCTCTTTCTCTTTCTAGAATTTTAGTATATTATTTTGAAGCAATTTTAATTCCCAGCACAAGATTTGAGCATTTTTCTTCAACAATTTAATTCCTTTCAATTGAAGAATCCTTGGCATTCACTTCTACTTCATTTTCCTTCAATTATATTTGCTTTTCATTTATGTTTTCCATATTTATGATTGTTATTGTTTCTTTTAATAATTGTGGTGAAACTAGATCTTGGATGTTTTAAGTACTTGATTTAATCATCTCATTTAGTTTATTTTTGAATTCTTTTCATATTTAGTTCCTTAGATAATTTATTATAATTTATTCTTGCTTAGTAGAAATTCGAGTCTAATTAATTATTTCTAAACCTTAGTCTCTTGGGATCCGACCCTTACTTGCCAGTCTACATTAGTATTGGTCTGTTAGGTTATTTTTGATAGGTACACGACACGCCTACCAAATTTTGGCGTCGTTGCCGGGGACTAACGATTTCATTAGATTATTTGTGATTCGTTTTTGCTAAGCTTATTTAGTTGCTTCGGCTATTCTCTCTTGTGTTTTTTATACTTTTTCTCTAGTTTTTCTTGTGCATTCCCACATGACGCTCGGGTTCAGAAGATCTTGAACCATTTGATTCTGAGATCGAGGCAACTATAAGAAGAAGGAGAACAAGAAATCGACGTAGGAGAAACATGGTAGACCAACCAACGAAATCCCTTTTGGAGTACGGTATTCCTGATACGACTACCGGAGTCCTTTCTAGCATCATAAGACCACCTGTAATGGCTCAGCACTTCGAGCTCAAGCCGCAATTCATCCAATTCATCTCCAATGATTCATTCGCAGGGCTACCACATGATTGCCAAGTAAGTCATATTGATAGTTTTTTGGAGAAATGTGATACTATGAAGTTGAATGGTGTTACAGATGATGCAATCAAACTACGCCTTTTCCCCTTCTCACTTCGGGACAGGGCAAAGGAGTGGTTAAGAGATGAAGGCACTGGCTCGTTCGATACATGGGAAAAGTTAGTGAAGGCCTTCCTAGTGAAGTTTTTAGGGAATGAGAAGACTGCAAGATTGAGGAATGACCTACAAACTTTTAAGCAGTCAGATGATGAGTCTCTCTATGAGGCTTGGAGGAGATTTAAAAGATTGCAGAGACAATGCCCTCACCATGGCATTCCAGATTGGATTTTGATGCAGACCTTTTACAATGGCATGACTCATGAATTCCGTATTTACATAGATGCTGCGTCAGGAGGTTCTCTCTTGACAAAGAACCCCACTGAAGCTAGGGAGCTCATAGAGAAGATGGCGGCCAATGATAACTATCATCCTGGAGGCCGAAACACTGTGAAAAAGGGAGGTAAAATTGATGTTGATTCTTTAACTATGCTAACTAGTTCTGTGCAGGCACTAACAAGCAAGTTTGATAAGTTCCAAGCAGAAACTTCTAACACCCCACAGGAGTTGTGTCAGTTATGTAATGTGCAGGGTCATGTTGCTCGAGATTGCCCACAGATTTCGCAGAATACGGAAGAGATGTCAATCGAGCAAGCCAATGCTTTCTACTCCTCTAACCCAAAGAGGCCTTATGACCCTTATTCCAACACCTACAATGAAGGATGGAAACACCATCCTAACTTCTCATACAAAAATTCCCAAGCACAACAAAACCCTCCACCACCACCTCCACCCAACACCTACAACCAACCACCACCTGGTTTCCAACAGAAAACACCCAATGCCCACCAACCAATGCAACAACAACCTCAGAAATCAAGCCTAGAGGTGACATTAGAGAGCTTTATAACCGCAACAAACAGTGCCATCCAACATCAAAATAGCTCTATCCAACAGTTGCAAGCTCAGGGTAAACTTATGGAGAATCAGATAAGCCAATTGGCCAACCAATTTAGCCAAGCCTTAAAGACTCCAGGAACCTTCCCGGGCCAAACTGAACAATCTCAAAAAGGCCAAATAAATGTCGTCACCCTGAGGAGTGGAAAGCAGTTGGAAGATCCTCCTACCTAGGAGCCATCAAGAGAGTTCATTGAAGAAGTGGGTGCAAGTGAGAAGAAAGTAGATGATGCTAGGGTCGAGGAAGCATCAAAGGAAGCACCACCAAAGCCACCTGCTTCGTATATGCCTAAGGTTCCTTTTCCTCAAAGATTAGCACAAGCTAAACTTGAGAAAAAGTTCAGTAAGTTCCTCGATGTTCTTAAAAATCTTCATATTAATATTCCATTCCTAGATGTCATATCTAAGATGCCTTCTTATGCAAAATTTTTAAAAGATATGCTATCTAACAAGAGGAAATTAGAAGAGAATACTACAGTTGCTTTGAATGCAGAGTGCAGTGCTATTTTGCAAAACACTCTCCCTAAGAAATTAGGAGATCAAGGTAGCTATTCAATTCCAGTGAAGCTTGGAGATATTGAGATCAACAAGGCACTATGTGATCTAGGTGCAAGTGTGAGCCTCATGCCACTGTCTATATGCAAGAAGCTGCAGATGGGTGAACTCAAACCCACAAGCATATCTCTGCAACTTGCAGACAAGTCAGTGAAGTTTCCTTTGGGTGTACTTGAGGATGTACCCCTCCAAGTAGGTAAGTTTTTCATTCCATGTGATTTTGTTGTGATGGAGATGGATGAGGATGTGAATGTTCCTATCATACTAGGTAGACCTTTCTTAGCTACTGCAGGTGCAATTATAGACATGAAGAAAGGTAAGATTACTTTTGAAGTGGGTGATGAGAAATTGGAATACTCACTTTTAAATGTTATGGGTGCTCCTTCTATGGGAGACACTGTTTGTCAGGTTGATGTGCTCGATGAGCTGCAGAATGAGCAACTTCCCTTGAATCAAAATGATGATGCTCTTGAACAAGTGTTATTAGGGAAGGAAGATGATAATGGAGATTGGCAGTCTAAGGAGTATACTAGGTTACTTGATGAAGCAAAGGCCGATCCAAATCAGAACCCGATCAGAGCGACATTGGAAGTAATGAGCATTGGGGAGAGTTCTAAGCCTCCCGAGGTAGAGTTGAAACCCCTCCCCTCTAACTTAAAATATGCATATCTTGGTCCAAATAATTCATATCCTGTTATTGTCAATGCTGAACTCAAGGACACAGAATTGGAGCAATTGCTCAACGTTCTGAAAACATATAAAAGTGTCATTGGGTACACCATTGATGATATCAAGGGCATTAATCCTTCTTTCTGTATGCATAAGATCATTCTTGAAAACGATCATGCCTCTTCAGTAGAACCTCAGAGAAGACTTAATCCTAATATGATGGAGGTAGTTAAAAAAAGGTTATGAAATTGCTTGCTGCAGGTATAATCTACCCTATCTCTGATAGTAAGTGGGTTAGCCCTGTACAAGTAGTACCAAAGAAGGGAGGTATGACCGTTGTCAAGAATCACAAGGGTGAGCCAGTCGCCACTAGAACTGTCACAGGATGGCGAATGTGTATAGATTATAGAAAGTTGAATAAGGCCACCCTAAAGGATCACTTTCCCTTACCTTTTATTGATCAGATGCTTGAAAGGTTTGCAAAGCATTCCTTTTTCTGTTACTTGGATGGATATTCAAGTTTTTTGTAAATTCCCATCCGTCCCTGTGACCAGGAAAAGACTACTTTCACATGTCCATATGGCACCTTTGCATATCGCAGGATGCCATTTGGATTATGTAAGGCTCCTGCCACCTTTCAGCGATGTATGATGGCAATTTTCTCAAGACTCATAGAAAACTCTATGGAAGTATTTATGGATGATTTCTCTGTCTATGGAACATCTTTCGATGTATGTCTTACAAATTTGAAAAAGGTGCTCCAAAGATGTAAAGAAGTTAATCTAATCTTAAACTGGGAGAAATGCCATTTTATGGTACAACAGGGAATTGTCTTAGGTCACGTCGTGTCTAATAAGGGTATTGAAGTTGATAGAGCTAAAATAGAGGTCATAGAGCACTTACCACCTCCTAACTCTGTAAAAGGAGTTCGAAGTTTCCTTGGTCACGCAGGTTTTTATCAGTGTTTTATTAAGGATTTTTCGAATATTGCTAGACCTTTAACTGAGCTATTGGCCAAGGATGTCCCTTTTGTTTTTTCTGATGCTTGTCTTGAAGCTTTTAATAGGTTGAAGGAGGCTTTAATCACTGCTCTAGTCATGCAACCCCCAGATTAGAGTCTGTCGTTTGAAATCATGTGCGATGCTAGTGATTATGCGGTAGGAGCCATGTTGGGCAAAGGAAGGAGAAGAAGCTCCACGCCATATACTATGCTAAAAAGACCTTGAGCTCTGCTCAAATGAATTATGCCACAACTGAAAAAGAAATGCTAGCAGTTATATATGCTATTGACAAGTTTCATTCTTATTTGGTAGGTTCTAAAGTCATCATACATACAGATCATGCAACATTGAGGTTCTTGATGACCAAAACACATGCCAAGCCTAGGTTGATTCGATGGATTCTACAGCTACAGGATTATGACATCGAAATCAAGGACACAAAAGGGACAGAGAATGTTGTTGCAGACCATCTTTCCCATCTTCTCCTTGACCCTAAGAATGGAGATGATATTCCTTTTGATGATTCTTTTCCTGCAGAACACTTACTAGCTTCATTACAGACTGAATCACCTTGGTTTTCTAACTTGGCTAATTTCCTCAACAAAGGAAGAAATTTCTCATGGCTACTCTTCTCAACAAAGGAAGAAATTTCTTTCTGAGGTAAAGAGATATTTTTGGGACGATCCATTCCTATACAAGCAATGCGCGGATGCCATGATCCGACGATGTGTTCCAGAAAATGAGGTAAGCAACATTATTTCACATTGCCATGACTTACCCTGTTGTGGACATGCAGGCCCCTCGAAGACGATTGCAAAGATCCTGCAATGCGGATTTTATTGGCCTACTATGTTCAAGGATGCTTATGCCTATGTCAAGGCTTGTGATTGGTGTCAACGGACTGGCACAATTTCTAAGAAGAACGAGATGCCACTTAACAACATACTCAAGGTCGAGTTGTTTGATGTGTGGGGGATAGATTTCATGGGTCCGTTTCCCTCTTCCTATGGCAACTGTTATATCTTGCTAGCCGTTGATTATGTCTCAAAGTGGGTGGAAGCAATTAATATTCCAACCAATGATGCTCGTGTGGTAAGTAAGTTTTTCAAGAAAGTTATTTTCCCTCGTTTTGGTTTACCACGTGTTTTGATTAGTGATAGGGGAACACACTTTCTGGAGCATCCATTTGAGGCAATGTTGAAGAAATATGGAGTGCAACATAAGCTTGGAATTGGCTACCACCCACAGACTAGTGGCCAAGTTGAAGTGTCAAATCGAGAGATCAAGTCCATTATAGAGAAAACAGTTGCCAGAACAAGGAAAGATTGGTCCGCGAAGTTAGATGATGCATTATGGGCATACCAAACGGCTTTCAAAACGCCAATTGGAACAACCCCATATAGACTTGTCTACGGGAAAGCATGCCACCTGCTCGTTGAGCTAGAACATCGAGCATTTTGGGCCATCAAAAGCTTAAATTTCGATGCCAAAGAAGCGGGAGAAAATAGACTATTACAACTCAATGAACTAGACGAGCTTCGTCTCGAAGCTTATGAAAGTTCAAAGTTATATAAAGAGAAAACAAAAAGGTGGCATGACAAAAACCTTGTGAGGAGAGAGTTCAAGGAAGGAGATTAAGTCCTTCTTTTCAACTCTAGGTTGAGATTATTCCAGGAAAGCTTCGGTCTAGGTGGTTGGGGCCATTCAAGATCAAAAAGGTGTATCCCTATGGCACTGTCGAGTTAGAAAATGCAAGATGAGAGCCCTTCAAGGTCAACGGGCAAAGAGTAAAGCATTACCGAGTTGGTGACCCCATTGACGAAGGAGTGGACACCACACTCTCTTCCCCATCACCGAGCCAATGAGTTTCACCATGGTCAAGCTAAAGACCTTATAAACAAGCGCTTTTGGGAGGCAACCCGCTGTTTTTGGGATGACCTTGAGTGTTGGTGGGGACCAATGCTTGGTCAAAGCCTTGGAGAGAAAGGTGGGATAGTACCCTCCCTTGGTGGTCCTCACCTAACCTCTCCTCACCATGTGACACTTGTTGATTATCTATTGCTTGTCATTTTATGATGGAAATGCAAAATTCTCCCACATTGGTGGGAGAATGTAAAATCAAGTAGCATTCCCTTATAAATACCCAAGTGTTGGGCATATGGGAAGATACTTGAGTAGAACTCAATGAGGCATCTCCCATTAGGTGAGAAAACCTTTAAGTTCGTAAAACTCCAAGTTTTTATTGGTCGGGTCCCGACTAACCTTCGGGACTTGGACCGTTCGGGTCGGGTTCGTGGGTACGAGCTGTTGGAGGCGTTCACACTAGTGACGCTCGAGCTTTTAAAGTAAGAGCTCGATTTGCGAGCGAAGCACGCATCGAGGGTATAATTTCTTTCTCTCTTCTTTTAATTATTGCTTAATTATGTTTATGCTTGTCTTAATTGCTTTAGTTATCGGGGCGGGTCTTGGGGGGTTTCCTTTCCGCGTAGTGTGAGTCACTACGAAACCCTACAGTCCTGGTCAGGACCGAGTGTCTGACCATCTTTAGCTATTTCAGACGACTATCCCCACAGACGGCGCTAAATGTTTCGAGGTTTTTCGAAATCCCTGGGTGTAGGGTTTCGTAGTGACCCGACACTATGCGGAAGGAAACCCACCAAGACCCGCCCCTTAATTAAAGCAATTAAACAAGAATAATAAACTTAAGCAAACAAGATTAAGAACAAGAATTATACCTTTGACGCGTGCTTCGCTCCCAAAGAGCTCTTACTTCAAAATCCCGAAAAGACGAGATCTCCGATGGATCGTACCCTCGACTCGACCCGAGCGTCCTAAGTCTTGAAGGTTAGTCAAGACCCGGACAAAATAACTATGAGTTTTACGAATTAAAGGTTTACTCTTTTCTTAGAGTTGCCTTTTTAATTCCACTCAAGGTTTTTTTCAAAATCCCAACCAAGTGGGTATTTATAGAGAATGGGGACTTGAAACCCCTTTTCATGATCAATGTGGGATCATGTGCAATTGCAATAATTTATTTAATTCCAAAATAAATAATTATGCAAAAGCAATCACAAGCCAACAAGTGGCAAAAGAAGAGAATGGGTTAGGTGAGGACCATATCCCATGGGGGGGACCATTGCCTTGCTCCCCAAGGGAAGCTTGGTGGCTTTGGTCCCCACCTCTCCTTAAACCGCCACTCACAAGGGGTGTTGGGCAGTTGCCAGCTAGCACGCCAGCTAGCATGTGCCAGCCAGCCCAGCCAGCCAGCACCAGCCCAGCCTCGCATCCCAGCTAGGCAGTGCTGGTTGATGCTTGACGCTGGTGCGTGCCAGTGCTAGGCGCTCGTGCGTGCTGGCGCTGGCCCTAGTATCCCACGCACACACCTCACGCACCACGCACACTCTCGCATATCCAGCATGCGTGCTGCTAGCGAGACACGCATGATGGCCCCCTTTGTCTCGCACCATACGCACACACCTTGCAGCATCACTCGCACATGCACTAGCTACGCACCATGCACACTAGTCATGCACAGTACGCATCGCACCACGCACCACGCACTAGCCTCGCGCCATTGCTATCCCAACCAGCTAGCCTATGCACGCAAGGCCTAGCATGCGTGCTCGGCGACGCTGCCAGGCATCCTCGCACTAGCATGCATCAGCCAGTGCCAAGCACTGCCCTGCTTGGTGCGAGGCATGCACACACGCACATGCACATGCGTCAGTGCCTAGCATTGCGATGGTGCCTAGGCATCATGCTAGGGCTGCGATAGCGCGCCTAAGCATGATGCTAAGGCTGCGACAGTGCTCATGTGCACCCAGGCTATCATGCTGCTAGCTGCGATGGGCTGCCTGGTGCTTGTGGGGCTTGCGATAGCTACCATGCGCACCTAGGCACCCATGCTAGCATGCTGCTAGCTTGCGATGGGCTGCCTGGGCACGCCTAGACTGCGATAGTCCCCAGCACACCATGGTGCGCCTAGCACACACATGGTGCACCTAGGCTTGCGACGAGCTAGCCTAACCTAGCTACGGCTACGCTCATACTTGTTGCTTGTGATTTTGCGACGCTCGGTCTCGAGGCCCTAGGCTCGATTTCCGACGTCTGTATTCGTAAAACTCTATAGACTCATTAAATCCTTTTGGATTAATTCGTCGTCTCGGATCGGTGATTCGATTGGGTTCGACCCGAAGGATTCAGTTAAGATCAAGTTGTAATATCAATTATACCTCGATATTACTGTTCGGAAGCGACCTCCACCTAGGCATTCATTTTCATAATTTTTTCTCATTACGAAATTAAATATATTTAGCGATAAAAAATTGCACATAAAACAATAATCGGATATAAATTTATTTTTTTTGCTCTAGTCTAAACTTATTTTTTTATAAAGAAAGTAAAAATAAGTTAAATTAAACAAGACCCTACTCCGTACTACTTTTCCCGATTTCCGCCAAGACTCGGCCAGCAAACATCTTTGAAAACCCCAATAGATCGACTCTCAGTCTCCATCTCTCCGATTTTCCATGGCTCTCCCGCCGTTGTGTCCCTAACTTCGGACATCATATCTCTTCTTCTTGTTCTACAATCATGAACTTCAAACTTCTCTCTCCTCTAAGAAACCGTCTTCACACTCTTCTCCGCTCAGGTAATTTTTCATAATTCCGTGCAATGAAGTGTGAATTCTTATTAGTTTGTCTTTTGTGTGCAATAACTGTGGAGAATTTTGAATCGCATGTTGCAGATGTTGCTTGGCCGCAACGGAGGTACTTGGGTACGGCTGCGACTGCGGCTCAAGAAATACTCAATAAGCGTAGAACTGGGAAAAGGATCCCTGCACATGAAAGAAAAGCAATGGTGGAAGCATATGTCAACAAGTAAGCCAAACGAATTATGCTCCTTTTTTCTCGCTGTTATTTTGATTGATCATTTCACTTTTATTGCCTCTTTAATTTGTTTTATGGGTGTGATTCAACAATGGGTGTTTTATAATGCTTGTATTTGTAAACCATTTAATTGTCGTTTTTTTTTTTTCAAATTTTTGTAAAGCTGTTGAAGAGTGTTTTGTTAGGTTGTTGTGATGGGGTTATTTGTAGTAATTGCTTGGTGATGGAGATGGTTAATTTTGAAGTTCGGTGTTATTGGATTAAATTACATTCACAAAGTGGAAAGAATCATCATTGATAAAATTTCAGCTTTGAAGTGTATAGAATTGATAAGATGTCTTGGTTCTGTACTTGTTTGTCTGGTAGCCTAATATATAATTATCAGTTTCCCGATAGTTAAGAAGAGTAGAAGACCAAGACAATTAATCGTATCAGTTTGATTCTTTGATTATAATGGTCATAACCCTATTAGGAGATTCATCAGTCAACTAGGTATGAGATGTGGATGTAGTGCGTCTAGTTGGGTTGTGTATAATATCATTGCTGGAGGATAGTTGAAGTTCAAAAAGCAAGATTCTTCATTATTAGAAGCTTGAAAGTCTATTAGGATGTATGTGCTAGGAATGGATAGTAAATTACTCCAGAGTGGAGTCTAAAAGGATGATCCTCGTTACACTAATCCTTATACTCCAAACATTACTAAAGGAGAAGAAGATGCCAACAGAAGGTCTGTAATTGAGTCAATAGGTTGACTTGAAAAAAATACAAAATAATGCTTTTCTTCAAGTGGAGTGATTGGTCCAGAGCAGAATCCCTGTCAGGCCTAGTGCTTTTATCTGGTATCTCTAGAAGTCTTAGATTCTTTATTTTTTTTTATTTTTTAATCTCACTCCATATCCTCCATTTGGTCTCAGGCTTTCCTGTAACACAACATTAATCTTGGTATTATTTTTTTTAATTTATAGATGGAAACTATGATGGGATGGCAGTTTCTTGATAAAAGGAAAAAAAGGTGCCTCTTGTTTGTGTGAATAGTCCTTATTCTTTGTGACAGTGGGCATGATTTTCATTGTTTAAAAGACTTGTTGTTTTGTACCCCACACCACTGCTAAAGGGAAACAAAGCAAAGAAAGACGATGGATCTCATACACTTGGGCTGAATGGCTTCTTATCGCCCCCAATGTCGGTCTCTTGTTCCTTTATTTTTTTTATTTTTATTTTTTTATCTTAGGAAAACAGGCATTTTAAAGATGGAAGTTACCTATCATAAACTGAATTTTAAGTTGATTTGTTGAAGGGTGAATTTTAAGATAAGTTGTTCAATGGTGATTATTCTTCCATTAGGCTTTTGTCATCCTGTGTATTATATTAAGAACTAGTAAGATGCTTCAGTTGAAATAGTATACTTTTCTCCAAATATTAAGGCTAACATGGTTTTCTACAAGCAACTCAAGATTAGTAGTAATTTTTGTCTGAATTAATCCACTAATTCAAATAGTATCAACTCCTTCAATCTTTCTCCTTGTTTATGTCAAGCTTTGTTATGATCTGTTCTTGAATAGCGTACTCTATTCAGTATATTAATGTGTTTCAGCTCTAAGCATTTGAAAGCACACTTCATATTGAGATAGTAAAGTCCTTAGAAGTAAACACAAAAGTATCTAGAATTATAGTGAACTTCAATACACACGGATTAACTTTGACTTAGGGGGCGTTTGGTATGGGGGGTAATCAGAAAGAGGAAAGAGAATGGACAAAAATTGAAATTGTTGCTTATGATGCCATTTTTATCGTAACCTTTCCCCTCTCATTTTCATCAAACTCCTTTACTTTAATTCCATACCCCCATGGTATTTCCATTCCCTTCCTTTATGCCACTAATACACTACAAAAATTAAAGCTTTTTAGCAACTAAGTTTGGCAATAGATTTTTAAAACGTTGCTAAATAGCAACGAAAATAAATTTTTTCATTGCCTAATTAAAAGCGACATTTTATGCTTTACTTTTTTTAATAATTAATGGCTACGTGTTTTTGATTTGTTGTTGTTTAAAACAAATTGTGTTACTAGTTGTTACTAGATGACATCATATTTTTGTCTTGTTGTCATATAACAACAAACAATGGCAACTGATATTTTATTTGTATTGATTTAGAAACAAAGAAAGACAATGAATTTTTGAATCGTTGCCATTAGAAACGAGTCGTCTAAACAATTGTTGCTAGATGATAACATATTTTTATTTGTTGCCATTTACCAATGAATGACACGAAATTTTTATTTGTTGCCATTGGAGATTCTTATTATTTGTTGCTATAATGACATCAAATTCTAGTTTATTGCCATTGGAAACAAGTTGTGTTACAATTTGTTGTTAATTTATATGCAGGTCACTTTTAGCTATTATTAAGTATAATATTTTGGAGACACTCTTCTTATTATTTGTTGCTATTCTGACATCAAATAGAAACGGATTTCAATTCCGTCTCTAATTTAGAGACAAAATTTTCATTTTGTCCCTAATTCAGATTTTAGAATTCCGCCTCTAATATTTCGTCCACTTATTATCAATTATATGCATAAAAGTAAACAAATACTACTTGGTATAGTTGGTAAGAGTTTCACCATGTGACTTTGAGGTCAGAGGTTCGACACCTACCAACTGCGATTCTTGAGAGTGGGGATTCAAAGAGCCTTGTATGCAAAACCGAGCCGAGTTGACCCGAGTGAGGTTCGGGATTGGTAAATGGGTCAGGTTGAACCGAATAGCATGATTTGATGTTATTTTTAGGAACCAACATTAATAATCTGTACTTTTAGGAACCAACATTAATAATTTGTTGCTATTTTTAGGAACCAATATTTAAAATATGTTGGTAATTTTAGGAACCAACATTAATAATTTGTTGCTACTTTTAGCAACAACCCATGGTAATCTGTTGCCAAAGTTGGCAACGCATGCACCAAGAACAACAACCATCATAGAAACTGTATTTAAATGAATGCAATATTGCAACAAAAATTGTTGTGCAAATGGTAGCCAAAATCCCATGGCAACAAGTCTTTTAGCAACAACAAACTTTTGTTTCCAACCCGTTGCTAACTAGAGTCGGCAACGGATTTTTGGTGGCAACAAATTTTAGTTATTGCCATATTTACTTAATTTTGTAATGAATGCACCACCATAACATTACACAATCACCACCTTCACACTCGTGGGCACTGTCTCACCTCCACCTACACTAGTGTCGCCTGTAATCACTAACATTACACACTCGCAAAATTGCCCTTAGCCACCCCAAAACCACCCTCATTATAAACCATACCCCACCATTTAAAACACCCTAACCCATCATGCACTCTTTAGAAAACTACAATCCCTCAAAACCATGCCCCACCCACCCAAAATCCACTCCTACCCAACCTAAAAAAACTTTATAGCCTTGAAAAACCACATGTACCAATTGTAACCGCTAACACCCTTCTAAAAACCCACATCCCTAATGATTAGAAAAGAAAAATCAAGAGTATACTTTGGACGATTAATTATAGTTTTAAATAGTCAAATTCGACTATGAAAACTTCTAATCTAAGAATTTATGTTCAAATTTGACCTTTAATACCTTAGTTATAACCATGGTTGTGGTAATAACTAAAGAGAAGGGGTGGTGGAGCGATAGTTGGGAGGAGGGTGAGGTGGCAACACAACCGCAAGGAGGGAGGATTTTGATTGTTTTGGTAATTAATTTGGCCAAGTTTGACAAAAGAATAGACATAATGAGAATTAAAAATCTTAACACATCAAGGGCATGGCTATTATTTTGCCATTTTGTAACAAGAATTTGCAAAACAACTCCCGTTATAGATTATTAAATGGCTAAGTTCTACTATTTCACATCGTGTTTTGGAAAAAGCTAACTACAATGAGTTGTTGGGTAGAGGTAGTTTTGGAGGTAAACATATTGTTTCTTTATTTTTATAATACAAACACCCACATTAAATACCAATTTTCTAAAGCTGTTTTAATATGGTTTTGCTCAAGTCTTACGAACTTCACAAAATCTAGGGTGCTAATTAGATACAAATGGACCTAAACTAAAGGATTTGAACAAATGGGCAAATACTAAATCAAATTAGGAAACCTAGGTAGGGTGAATAAGCATATCATCTACTCATAAATTTTATCACAAAACTTTAAACATTTTAATCTCAAATACACCCACAAAAATATTAAAAACATTCCCTAAGGCTGTATATATAGGCACTAAATTATAGAATAAACTATCAAATAAGTCTGAGTAAGATAGTAAATAAACACTTATTAAATAGGACTCTTAAGAGTCTTAAAGATAATGAGATACTACTCCTTTCGTTGTAGAATAATTGACACGCTTCCTTATTCTAGTATGTATTATGAAAATTATAGCTGGGGACCATAAATTGAGTCGTTTAATGTAAAATAAAGTTAGTGGATTTAATTTATATTATTAAAAAAGGGACATGTGGGGTGAGAAAAGCTAGTGGGCCTGGAATAATATGGTAAAAATTTGATAATAGTGGTTCCTCGTCATTTATGGTAGTTTGTTAATTATTCTAGAATGACCAAAAAGAAGGAAGTGTGTCACTTATTTCGAAACGAAGGGACTTTCATTTTTCTACAAGTAAAATTTCCATCGCTAAGGGACTAGTAAAACTGCGTAGGGCTCCTAATAAAACATTAAGGGCTGTTTGGTTTGTTAAACTAAATTGGATTGAAAAAAAAAATCTCATACTAGGGAGGAATGGATCTAAATTCCATACTAATTTAAAGTTATTTGGTATATATGTTAAAGTAAGTGTTATATTTCATTATTGAAATGGAATGTGAATCTTAGGGGGTGAGGTGGGGGTGAGATTCAAGTGGGATGGGACAGAGTTAGAACCTTTTCGATATTATGAGGTTCCATACCTAAAAAGCCTAACCAAACAATAAAATAAAGGAAAAATACATTTTAATAATCCAACTATGGGCGATTTACTACTAATAATCCCAACTAAGGTTTATTATCTAATAATCCCAACTATGGGGTCAATTTGCCTCTAATAGTTTCAATGACCGGTAACCTACTAAAAGGGTAAACTTTTTTTTTTAAAAAAAAAAAATAAAAAAAAGTGTCAACATGTAATTGCTCCAAAATAAAAAAAAAAAACTTTAAATGATTTAAAAAAAAAAATAAAAAAAAAATGTGTCAACATGTAATTGCTCCAAAATAAAAAAAAACTTTAAAAGAAAAAGAAACCCCAAAACTCATTTTCTGCCACCCCATGGTTGGGATATTAGATAATAAACCCTAGTTGGGATTATTAGAAGTAAATCGCTAATAGTTGGAATTATTAAAGTGTATTTTTCCTGAAATGAATGGAATGGATTTAAATCCATTCTGACCCATTCCAACAAATTAAATCAAATGACTCTTAAAAAGATATGACTTACGAGGACTAAGCTTGGTAATTTCCTTGCACGCCAAGTGTCATATACTACCTAATTACTCATGTATCAAAATAGCCGTCTTACCAATACATCTACCATCTCTCTCTTTTTATTTTATTTTATTTTTATTTTTTTATTTTTTAATTTTTTTGGCATTTAATACATCTAACCTAAAACAACCACAAATAGGCAATTCATAAATGGTTTTGACTTTGAGGGTTGACCCTTGCTACTCAAATACACATCGAACTCCCCTTCTTTAAAATTGATTCGTCCACGAATCATGCTAAAATCTTTAACATAAAATACACCCAAATTTCATCAACTTCCTTCATTGTGTCACTGTAATTCATGAAACTCAATGAATCCTCAATGACGAACAAAGGTCGATTCTTCAACTTCAAATGTTGTCCCAATCTTGTCTTTCATAGGAATCAAGTTTATGTGGCATGGTTGATTTTCAAACTAGTAATAATTAACTTGAAATGTTGCTCCCTTTCTAGTAGTAATTAACTCGAGGGTTTATTATCATACATCCAACTATCATCACCACTCTTGGGATGACACTCGATATTGTTTCCCTCCAAGTATTGCCTTTTTTTTTTTTTTTTTTTATTTTTTAAATTTTATCACAACTACAAAATGGTAGTTGGGCGATTAAGCATCTCATCTACTCTCATAAGTTTTATCACAAAATTGTAAACTTTATTAACCTTAACCTCACTCACACAAATAAGATAAGATCCTAAGACCATTTATATAGGCAATATAAATAATAGAATAATCTAGAAAAGAGATCTAGGTTATATAGAAAATAAACACCTAATTGGACTAGGACTCTTCACGATAATAAATTACTACTTCCTCTTTTTTTTTTTTTTTTTTTTTTTTTTTTAGTTGACACGTTTTGACTCTAACCTTATTCACACACTTTCCTTTGATTATATTTTGTGATTTATACGTAATGAAATATATAGTGATGTGGAATCTTGTTACATTCGTCACGTTATATATTTTCAAAATTGCAACTTCTTACAATTTTAGCTTTTTGGTAATTAAAAATGGTATGACTTATTCTGCACGTAAAATCCACTCTTTAAGGGACTAGTAAAACTGTATAGGACTCTGGATAAAATATTAAAATGGTATGACTTATTGTAATGGAACTAAGATTAAGCTCGGTATAACCCACCTAACTACCCCTGTATCACCACATATTGACAACTCGTAAATGGTGTTGACATTGAGGGTTGACCTATGCTACTCAAATAAATACTCATCAAATTTTGACAACTTCTTCTTCTAGGAATAACATCAAATTACAAAAACCAAATACTGTACTATAACAAATTGCTACTATAATATGCTAACAATTACATTTGCTAAACAAACTCCTATTCATACATGTTACTCACTTACAAAAAACTATAGCTGAACTAAAATAACAATTTAACAAATTTGAAATTAGCTGCTAGTTGACTGTATTCTAATCCTAAATGATAGTTGTCATCTATAAACTTTATGATCAATATGAATTCAAGTTTATCTGACTGTTTTGGTACATATTATGCCGTATAGTGATTATTCTGTGTTAATCCTGCATTTCCCATATGATGTTTTTTTTTTTTTTTTTTTTTTTTTTTTTTTCTTATATTTGGAATTATACCTTATAAGGGTAGTTGGCATGCTAGTCATGGAGTAAAATTTTTAGATCACTTTTGTTGCAGATACAGGGTGATGAATTCCGGAAAATTCCCAACAACCAAAAATGTTACTAATCAAATTGGCGGCTCTCACTATAAAACTAAGGTTATTATTCAGGAGTTGGAATACAAATCCAAGTTACCTACTGTGGCCAGTGCTGCTGATAAACTAACTATACTGCAAAAAGCTCAACCATATCAGTTTTCTGAAGTTAAAGCTATTGTTGACTGTAAACTGTCTGGCAAGGACAAGAGGAATACTGTTGTGGATGACGGTACTTCAGCAGAATGTTATTTGAGCTACGAAATTGATAAAATCAGTGACCAGAAGATGATTGATATGTCAACTTTGAACAAGAACCATGAGATAACAGCAGAATATGAATCTGGTAGTGAGAAAAAGGTTTGGGGAGAGCATGGCAGAGCATCTGCAGATATGGACACTAGTGAAAATAGTAGAATTCTGGAAAGCTGCATAGTGCCTGGTATATCAACTGTAATGGAGAGCACCTTGGCAAGTGAGACTCTAATTGCCATGTCAACGGTATGATCAAGTTGTGCTCTGAAATCCTCTTTGAATTTTACACACCCTAAAGTGCGTGCTGTAAGCACTCATTTAGCTATTGCCCCCATTTTTATTTTTAGTTTTAGTTTTACTTTCTTTTTTATTTAATTTTTTTATTTTTTAATTGTAGATATTTCAAAATGGTTAGGGATGGATTGAGTATTTTGTTCATTCATAAATCAAACTAGTTGAAAGTTCGTGCCCCCACTGTACCTCGTAAACCAACCCCACCCCAAGCTAGCCCTGAAACAGTTGTTGTTAAGAGCTTGGGATTGATTTCGAAGGTGGGTGAAGGGTTATGGTCGGTTTCTGGGTTGGGGAAAGGGAGGAGGGCCGGTTTCGGTGGTGTGGGAAGGGAGGGAACGCCGATTTTGGCGGTGTAGGAAGGGAGGGGGTCCATTTAGGGGGTTGAGTTAGGGAGGGTAATGGTATCTAGGCGGCGTTGTGAGGGGCAATGGTGGTTTTTCGAGGTGGCGGGTTGGGGGCCGATTTCCGGTGTAAGCGGTGGTTCGGTGGCGAAAATTGGTGGCAAGGGGCTGGGGAGGGGTTGTTCGTGGGTAGGCTGGGGAGAAGGGCCACCAACCTTGGTGGTTTGGATTTTTTTTAACTTTTTTCGTTTTTTTTTAACTTTTTTATTTTTTATTTTTAATTTTTTGGACCTATCACGTGGTGACACGTGTTAGTTACCTAGAATCAAAGGTTGTTGACTTTTGTTAGCCGGTTTGGGATTGAAGAAAGAAAACGCAGGTGAAAGTTGAGATTATCAAAATTTGGGATTATTTAAAATAAATTGAGCAAAGTTGAGATTATTAAAGTGAATTTTTCCTTTATTTTAATGTAATTTATGATGCGACCTTGTTCGTTAGGGTTATGTGTTAAATGTTATTAAAAATAAATTTAATTTTAAATATGTTATGTCATCCGTAGAATCATCTTTTATGTAAAAATATAATTTTTTTTTGTGTTTAAATAATTTAAATCCTAAAACATTATTCTTTGTTTTTTACATTTAAAATTAAATTTATCAAATCTCATTCCTTAATTTTGCTTACGTGGTGATTATATTTTTATTTTATTCTAAAATAAAATACAAATATTGGTTAACATAAGGCATAATCTTACGATAAAAAAATATAATAATGAGATCAATTATTAACTATAAAGATTAGTTTTATAAATATTAGTTTTATAAATATGTTTTTTTAGGATTAATTTTGTTCAAATTAATTTTTTTTAAAAATTATAATCCTACATGGTACTTTTTGTGGCGCTACATGACGTTTTTTTAATAAATCATAATCTTACGTGGCGCTCTAATTTTTTATAAAAATCAAAATCCTATGTGGCATTCTAAAATCTTGAGGAAAAACTCCCCTTTATATATATATATATATATATATATATATATATATATATATATATACTCCCTCCGTTAATTTTTATTTGCAACTTTTGCCATTTTAGTCCGCTAACTATTATGTGCAACTTTCTATTTTCTTTCTATTTTTTGTAAACAAAAACCCTGAAAATTACAAATTTACCCTTACTTAAAAATTCAGATTTTCTTAATTTTACCCTTATCTTATTTTAATCACAATAACCTTTTTTATCTAATCTAAAATTATTAATCTAATTCTACCCCATTTAATCATCTCCTAGTCTACCCACCACCTATTCATCTCTTTCTTCAACCTCTCTTCATCTCTTTCACCCGGTTCATCTCTTTCACCTTCAGCCTCTTCATCCCTCCTCCCTCACGAGTCACGACTACCGCCCCTCACACCACCATTCTCTCTCCTATTACTATAAGCTAGTCTCCCCTCACACCACCGCCCCTCACACCGCCATTAACCCACTCTCTTTCCTCTCAAATTTCTCTGTAAAACTAACCCATAAAAATGGGGTATACAGCTTCAAAGCTCGACAACGAAGCTATTGTATTTCTATTGTTAATTTTCCGTTTTATTGTTAATTTTTATTGTTGATTATTGTAGATCTACAATTTTGTATTTTTTTTTCGATTTTTTTTGGGTGATTTATCTTCGAATTGCTGGGTTTTTTTGGATTTTGTTCGATTTTTTTGGGTAAGGGTTTAGTGTGGTGAGTGGGTGGGTGGGTGGAGCTGCTGGATTTTTGGGTGGTCTGGGTTAGAGGTGGGTCTAGGGCGTGGGTTTTGGGTTTTATTGAAGGTGGTTGCTGTGGTGGTTTCGTGGGTGTTGGTTGCGGTGGGGTTGGTTGCGGACGGGTTTCGTGGACTGCAAGTTCGGACTGGTTTCGTGGGGTTGGTAGCGGTGGTGGTTTCGTGGGGGTGGTAGTGGTGTTGGTGAAGCCGGCGGTGGTGTTGGTGGAGGCGGCGGTGGTGTTGGCTGGTCTTGGTGGTGGCAGTGGGTGGTTGATTTCTTTAAACATTCTCTTTCCACCTTAATTACATACTCCTATAATATATTAATCTCCATTATACTTCCTCTAATATTTGCCCCTTAACTTTTGCCTCGTGAACCGTTATTTGCCCCAAAGTTGCAAATAAAAATTAACGGAGGGAGTATATATATATATATATATGTGTGTGTGTGTGTGTATTAGATTGTATGATTACTAGTGTATATTTTAAATCTATAATTGTAAATGTGTGGAGTGTCATTTGAGGTAGTAATCTTTAGCAAGGGATCAGGTCCTCGGTGGTGACGTCATATGCACGCAAGGCCACGACAATTGCTACTCTAATAATTAGATGGTCGCTTTATTAATTACATTTAAATAATTTCTATTTAGTTAATTAGTTCATAATTCAATAATTCTGTTATTAAGGGAATCTAAGTTTGTTAGGGGAAAGAGTGTAGAATGGAAGCTTGTAGAAGCTCTAAATAATATAAATATAGGTGCATGGGTATAGAGTAGGATATCCAGAAAATTGTGTTGTTAAGCTTAGGCTTATTTTGGGAGATCATCCTTCTTCTCGAATTGAAGGAAACCACCATTGTTGAGCTGGTTAATAGCTAGCTTAACAAATATCCATTGTATTGTTTGGTTAATAGCTTCTCAATTGAAGGAAACCACCATTGTTGACCCGACCCGAAAATTTTACCCGAACCCGATCATGATCTGATTGTTTGAACCAGGTAAATTGGTGACCGGAGCCCGATATGACGCGACCTGAGATCACTTAAAACCAACCCGAGACCCGAGTTAACCTTAGGATTTGTGACCCAAACCCGAACATGACCCGACTTGAGATGACTTGACTCGAACATAACTCGTCAATTATTAACTTGAACCAAACCCGACCCAAACCCGAGATTGACCCAAACCCGTTTTGACCCGTTGAAACCTGAAATCAACTCGACCTGTTACTAACCCCTACTAACCCCACCTAGATTCAATTCGACCGGTTATTAATCCGACTCGAATTCAACCTGATCTGTTCTTAACCCAACCTAAACCACATTTAACCCAACCCGAATAGTAATGCAATTAACTTAAATTGGCTCAAACCGAGCTAACTCGACTCAAACACTCAAATTGACAAATCTACCTTAAACATTGCTTACACATAGATTCCTTAAATCTACTTTCCCACACAACACACATATCTTAACTCTTACTCCCTCCGTTTCGCATTAGTTGCAATAGTAGGCTTGGCTCATAGTTTAAGAAAATTATAGACTAGGCTTATAGGCTTATAATATAAAGTATTGTTAGTAAGAGATAGAATTAATAATAAAAGTAGTGTGGGTGGGGTTGGTAGGAAAGAGAAATAATAAAATATCTGTGAAAGTGGGGTTAGTGGGAAACAGAAATTATAAAATAATGGTGAGTCCTTTCCAAATATAGCAATTAATATGAAACGGTCGAGAACGGAAAGTGTTGCAACTAATGTAAAACGGAGGGAGTATCTAATATAGCTAGTAGTCTAGTTTAGCACATTAATGCTTTAAATGTTTCCCTTAATGAAGCTAGTTAACCGAGAAGTATTGTAATCCGAATCATAAAGCTAATAATAAAGAATGGAGTATTTAATTGGCACAAAAAGATAAATGTGAACACCTTGTATTTGATTTATTAATGTTGTCATGTTTTAACTATGTACCACAGTACCAGACTATCCAAACTCATATTTGAACTTATATGAAAACCCGAATCAAACTCGACCTATTCAGGGTTCAAAAATGTAGCCGTATCATAACGTATCGGGCGAGTTGTAGCGGTTTTCAATTTTACCGAACCGAGATTTAGCGATCTAATGCAGGTTATTAAAATACAACACATTTTTGGACCGAATCGGCCGGTACACCTATATAGCTATGAATCGCCTGAGAAATTACATAATTTCTCGATTTTTTTTTCGACTTCATTGAAAAACAGAAAGTAAAGGAAAGAGAAAGAGGAGAGAGAGAGAGGCAGGAAGAGGAGAGAGAGAGAGGGGTGCTCTGATATTTTAGAGGGGTGTGGTTGGGAAGTGGGTATTGGACAAGTGTCATTATATATACCATTACTTTTTGCTTTTGACCTTTTGACTAAACAAGTTAACTCTTTATTTATGTTACCCATTACTTACAGTAGAAGACAATTTATTTTAGAGGAATTGAACTAATAATTGACAATAATTAAAATAAAACTAATTTTAATTATTACAAAATGATAAGAAAATTAATTTTTAAAATTTATGAGTTGTAATATTGATAAAACATATAAAACTATAAAACTAAAATTCGGTCTCCACATCCGCGATAACCGCATCAATTCTGTTACCGCGATAAGTTACCGTTATCGCGATCGTGACCGAAATCGTGCCCGAAACCGAATTTTCGAACCATGGACCTATTATTCACTCGATCCAAATGTAACCTGACCTGTTATTGACCCGACCAAACCCGATAAGATGTATGACCCGACGTGACCCGTCTCAAGAATGACCGAACCCGAACCCGACCCGCATAGGTTATGACATTAACCCGAATTCACTTGACCTGACCCACACTAACCTGACCCTAACCTGACCCGTTTACCCGAATTGATAGCTCTAATCCTTGCTTAGATCATGTACATTGTTTGAAATGTATTTATGTCCTATTAATTTAGTAATTACTGTGGTTGGGTGTGGTGGGATTATTGTACTTGTAAATCTTGATAGCTCATGACTTGTTCTGTCACCTTTTTTTTTTTTTTGTTTTTTTTTGTTTTTTAGGGTTTCCCCTTCCAAATAGTAGTTTTGATGATTGCAAATTAATTTAAAATGTGGTTTTCATGTAGAAAAATCCATAACTTTTCTTATTAAATCTCTTCCATGCTATTATCTTGCTCTGTTTTCAGGAGAATTCTGAAATTTTTGTAATGCCAAGTCATCGTATTGAAGCTCCTAAAACATCACAAAATGTGACGATAGGTAATCTAGACGAGGCATCTGCGCCAGCTTCAAAATGTGATAAACTCCCAAGGTAAGCTCATGCAATTTATAGTTTTTTGTTGTTGTTAGTCATGGAAGTGAATATAGGCCATTGCATTATGTACAGGTCATTCCGTAGAAAGCTCAGTAAAATATGATCTTTTCACATTTGTTACAGACTGTTATGTGTTACATTGTTGCCGCATTAGCTGTTTCTATCTATTTCTAAAACATTTATGGGCATTTATACCATTAAAATTTATATGCAATAAAAATTTGAACTTATTGTTTGGTGACTTTACAGTTTGTTTGGGTAATGTTAAGGGAAGGAAAAGAAAAGGAGGGAGGTGAAGGGGAGGGAAGGGAAGGGGAAGGAAGAATGATGAGTTTTCCTTCCAAATCTCTCCATTGTTGGATGGATCAATTTCCTAGAATTTAATTCCTCCATTTCTCTCCCCTCCATTTCCTTCAATCCAAACACACTCTAAGAGGCTTTTGGATGATGGTATCAGTTTTTTGAGGATACATTGGTTTGGTTATTTCTTAATCTGTTTACTTTTGTGCTTATATTGTGAACTGGCTGAACCCCTTCAGCTTGATTCAGTCTTCCAATTTCTTACTTTGATTCTTTCAGTGCTGCCAAATTTTATTTAGTAAGATAGCTTGTTGATAGGGTACTGAATATGCTTGTCATAATTGTTCCAGTGCTTATTTTTTTCTTTTCTTCCTTTGTTAATTTTTTTTTTTTTCAAAATTTCCTTTTTATTTTCCTCCGAGCATGTAGGTAGTGCAGTTGTAAGTCCTTTTACTAAATTGTTGACATCCATATGGCCTCTTGTAGCCATTTTAACATTATTTCAAAGGTAAGCTTTTGCAATAGTATGTACAAAAGGGGCCAAAAACTTTACTTGGAGATATTTGTCTATTATGCTGTAATTGTGGTGGGATAAATGTATAGTATTTTGCATGTTATTTCTTTCCACGTGATCAGTAGATGGTGAGACTCTGAGGTGTTTTGGATATTTGGTGTGGAATTTGCCCCATTAGTCTGCAATGTCTTAAAACTTTCTGATTCAAAAGTTTGTGGGTTAATTGCTGTAATTTAGTGATGGGTTGGGAAAATGCCAGAAATTTATGGAGTTTGATTTATAGTGGTTTTTGGCCATTTGGGCTGTTTGTATAATATCTGTGCCCATAGGTTAGAACTTGACAAGTTTATTGGCCTAAGTTTTTCGTGTGTGTAATTCTAAATTTGTTCAGGTGTATTGAAGGGGATAGTTTATCTATCTGTCTTGTACATTTATTCAAAGATGCAATTTAAATTTTTTCCCTACAACGAAATAATTATCATTTAAACATACATTTGTCTTGTATAATTTTTTATTTTCTCTTTTCCTTCTCATCAGACTAAGGAACTGAAAATACTGCCTCTTTCCATCCATTTCTTTAATTATAACCCTTTTGTTTTTGTTTTTTCTCATTATGGCATTTTATACACAATGAAGAATGCAGTCCTTCCCTCCCCCCATCTATCATTTTTTTTTTGGAGGGAGAGGGGGCGGGGGGGGGGGGGGGTTAGCAATAAATATCACAGTTTAATTCATTACGGCTCTTGCCCAATATGATAGGTTTGCTAGACTGCTAGTGTAAAAGAGAACCGCCTCTGTGTATAAGCCTAAAATTTTTCTTGCTCCCAATGGTATTTTGTTTGATTTTCTTTTTAAGATTGTAAGATTGGTTAATACTAAGGGAGTAAGAAGAAAGTTTGCAATTTTGTCGAGGAATGTCCAGAAGTGATTCAGGAGCTAGGGCATGTTCTAATCTCTTGGAAATAATTTTCTCCTCTTTAGTAACAATTTGCCCAAATCACCCAATTAGGATTTGATTAGGCACTGAAATTAGTGAAATACCATTTAGACCATGCTCTCCTCAACATATTAAAGTAATTTTGAGCAACAGGTTAATTTTAAAACATTTGCAAGGTGGTTTTTTAATTGATTTTCTTTATATTTTATATTTTTATTGTTTTTGAAGAATGTTAATGTAAAACCCATTTAGCTTTTTGGACCTTTTCGTATATTAAAAAAAAAAAAAAAAACCACAAGCTTCTTCAGCATTAAATAGGAAATTAATTAATACCATCTAATGAGCTCTTTTTACACCCTCTGCCCCTTTCACGATTGAGTTGGGTCAAGGGAATTGGTTAGCAACTCAGTGGCAGTGATGATGGGATCTAAGTGATTTCATCTAAAAAGTGATTTAGATCAAAGGAGAGGGAGTGAGGGGATGAGAGAGTTAGGGTTGTTTTGGGTTCTCATGGCCATGTGTGACTACAGTGTTGGCTAATGTTGTGGATGTTTCTTGTGTTACCAGTTGGCTGTGATTATGGTAGCGTGCGGTAAGGTCGAGATGAGGATCAATTAAAATATTGTGCAGTGGTGGTTATATATTCTTTTAACAGAGGAAGGAGAAGCAAAGATAGAGTCGTGACCATTTCAAACGGTCCAATTTACTTTCTGATTTTCATACATAAAGTTTGACCTTCTGGATCATAGCCCTGCTCGATAAAGCTAGTAAAGGACTTGAGTCGAGCTTGCTGGTTGAATCCCACCAAATTTTAACTGAGTTTTTCTCAAGAAACTTATTAGATTTATTGACATATCATTACTCCTTTAGGCCATAACTCTATATATTGTTAATTGAGCCCTTTCTGCTTTTTGTTTACATAGGAAACTTATGCTGCAACTTTTCTTTATATTGGAAATCTGAGACTGCACAAATTCTTATAAAAGGTTGTCAAAAAAAATACTACCTCCGTTTTTTATTAGTTGTGTCGTATTCCTTTTTGGGAAATTTCTTTTTAGTTGACACGTGCCTATTTTGGGTAACTTTTTATAATTAAATGTCAATTTTGCCTTCCTTTCTTTTCCCTCTTTCCATGACAGACCCACTCTATCTCTCTCCTCTCTCCTCCATAACCCACTATCTCAGTAGTATCTCTCTTCACATGAGTCAAATCCACTGCCATGGGTGACCCATTTTAGAGTCTCTCCTCCCTCACAGCCACTACCATGGGTGGACACATTTTAGTCTCTCTCCCTCACCGCCACCTCCATGGGTAAATGGCACCGTCGCCGCACCAGCTGTATGAGTTCCAATTTTTCAGCCACCGCCACAAGTCTTTTCCGCCAGAGTTCACTTGCCATTCCTGTCGCTGAGTTCTTTCTCTTCCATCGTCACCTCACTTCTCTCCTCTTACCCACTTCTTGTATAAGTCGGTGCATTTAGTGAGGATATTATGGAATTAGACATCAATTCACTGAATCTAAGAAATGAAAGTTGATGCCGACGTCGCCAGAGAAACCTCCATTAAAGAGATAAAATTAAGAATTTTATTTTTATTTTTATTTTATTTATTTATTTATTTTTTTAAATCTAACCATTATGAGGGTTGTTTATTGTTTGGGAAAAAAAAACTGAAGATGATGGGTTAAGTTTGCTGCAAATTAATGGTGATGGTGGATTGGTGGGTTAAGTGATGATGGTGGTGGTGGGGTTGAGTGATGGTGGTGGTGGTGGTGGGCTTGGTGATTGGTCGGTAAGTTTTCTAGTTTTCCAGATGTGGATGGAAGATATGGGTAGGCTCTGGCAAGTTAGAATAGTTAGTGGTGGGTGGGTTATAACTTTGCAAGGGTAGTTTTGTATTTTCTCTTTCCTTCTCATCTCTCCTTAATTTGTGTGCCAAAATCAAACGTTTCAACTAATAAGAAACGGAGAAAGTATATAATTGTCAGGCCAAATTACTAGCAGACACCTAGACAAGACACATGTGACGCCAGTACCAAGCCCACTCCTCTGTTTCCCTCTCCTCCACCTTCACCCCCTTTTTCTCTCCATGTATGGGTAGGAAGGTTGATCTGCTGGGAAAGAGAGGGAGAATTATGGTGTTGTGCTGAGTGATGTTGAGGAGGAGGAAGAATGATAAGGGGTAGTATGTGTAAAATCTGAAGAAGGTTTGGTCCCAAAGGATGGATCTAGATTGACAGATGTATTATTGTGTTATGTAGCGACTGTTTTACATACTACCATTGGAGCATCTTATTCATGGAGTTGAGCCAATACTTTTGAACTAAAACACCAAAATCATCAATTTATGTAGGACTTTTAGCTGGATTTTGTTGCAAAGACATCCATTTGTTGGATTTTCTGCTGGGTTGTTGCCAACGTGAGGTGGGTTAAATTTAGCTAAAAGTAGAGTAGTGATATTAGAACATTGCAATAATTGACGAGCAAATAAGAAATTGAATATGAACTTACTTTCTCTCATATTTTTACCTTTTGAGTTGCTTAGTAGAAGAGTTGAAGGTGAGGAAGGATCGGAGGGTGAGAAAAAGGAAAGGCATCGTAGTGGATAAAGTGATGATGACATGTAAAGCAAAAGAAAAGATTTGGTGGTCTATGGTTGAGGAGGACGAGTAAAGATTTCTGGTGGGCCCTTTAGATATTTGTCAAATATGTAGTAGGAGACAACTAGAAGTCAAGAATAGTACTGCATCACATTCAACTAGTAGTAAGGAATGGAATGTAGGGTATGTTATGTTTTTTACTCACATGTTTCTCCTCTCCTTTTTATCCCCTTACCACTCTTTTTAAAACTCTCTTAAATTTATTTGTTTACTCTTTTGTTTCTCACTTAACACACTTTATTTTTATTTTATTTATTTATTTATTTTTTCCAATCAATTATCTTGTTATGCTCTTGTTCCTTTTCAGACAATTCCTTATGACAATACATGTTAGTTGACCCCAAATAATTTTGAGACTAAGATTTTGTGGGAAATTTTATTTTTGAATTTGCTTGTTTAATTTTTTATTTATTTATTTATTTTTTTATAATGGTAAACAATTTTGGCTTAGTTGTGGTATTTTTATTGGTATTTATAACTTTTAGCTTAATAGTTATAATATTTTGAATAGCTATGATTTTCTTATTGATAGTTGTCGTTTTTAGGTATATAAATATGGTTTTTGATTTTATATTGACAGTTAATTATTATGACTTTCTAGTTACACATGGTATTTGTATATATACTTTATATGGATGTGAGTTTAGGATTGTTACTTATGATTATTTTTTGTTTTAGTTATGGTTTTGGTTTTGGATTATTGGTTATGAATTTATGATCTTGGGTTAATAGTTATGGAACTTGGGTGAATAAATTTAATTTTTGAGTTGATAAATAAGGATTTCTGATTAATAGATAAGGATTTTGGATTAATAGTTATGGTTTTTGGGTTAATAGTTACCGTTTTGTATTTATAATTATGGGCTTTGGGTAAATGGTTATACTTTCTTCATTTCAAATTAGATGAAACGTTTCTTTTATTACGTGTGACAATGCAAAATTCAATTGGAAATTTTTTTAATTATACTATTGTAGCTAAACCTTGAATTTTAGTTACGTAAAATAGAAATAAATAATTCCACCTTTCAGTGGTCTTCCCAAAACAATCCCACCTATTGATTTTTTCAAAACAATCCCACCTTTGCCCACAATCTTCCTCTAACGTTCCATTACCTGTTGGTGACCGATTTTTGTAAGTTATTTGCCGCGTGTTGCTATTTCATCGGTCTATTTCATTTTTAAAAAATTAAAAAAATTTAAAAATTAAAAAAAAAAAGAAAAAAAACACAACCCCAATTACCAACCAGTCAACCCTACCCCCACCCCTACGCTGCCAAGGGCCGAACGACCACCCTCTTTTCCAGCAACAACGCACCTTCTCCCCCCTTCACGCCCCAGGCACCCACTCTAACGCACCTACACAACTCACACACCCAACCAACAACAGCAACATCTTCGCACCAATGGTCACACCCCCCGCCGCCCCGGTCTGAACGACCACCCTTTCCCTTCCCCATCCCCATCCTACCCCGCCTTCCTCGTTAAGAAAGGGGAGTCCCGCCAGATCAATTTCAGATTTTAATCAATATTTAAAGGTATTATTCTCTAGAAATTCCATATTTTGTTTTAAGTTTTTCGTAGTATTTATTTTTTCGGTGTGCTTTGGGGGGGGGGGGTTCAGGGTGGCTAGGGGTTTTTAGGGGTGTTTTGTGGTGTTTTCGGGGTGTTTTGTGGGGTTTTCGGGGTGAGATGGGGTTTTCCGCTTGGTTATGAGCTGGAGCTGGGACTGGGGGTTCCGCGGTGGCAGGAGGTTGGGCTGGGGTTGCACCTCTAGCGGAGTGGAGGGTGGCAGCAGCAACAAGTTAGGTCTGGTGGTACTTCAGGTGGCAAGGGTTTTTGGGGGTGGTGGTTATGGTGGTTGCCATGGAAGGGGGATGGGGAAGTGGGAGGAGAGTGAATTTAAAAAAAAAAAAAAAAAAAAAACATCTAAACCTGTTTAACAGGTAGCGGGTGAAATGGATCTTTAAAAGAAGATCCATGTCAAGGGTGGGATTGTTTTGGAAAAATCGAGAGGTGGGATTGTTTTGGGAAGACCCAGCAAAGGTGAGATTATTTATTTCCATTTTTCCTTTTAATTAAGTACACATTGAAATTAATTTAACAAGATCTCACATGATTATGGTTTTTGTTTTTTAATCTATAAATGCTAGTCAAAGCAATGTTTGTAATAGTGTAAGTTAAAACTTGTCATACAATTTAAAACGGAAGAAGTATGTTTTAGATAATTGAATCTAGTTTTGGGTTTTTAATTATGATTTTCAGTTAATAATTATAAGTATAGTTTTGGATTATAAGTATGATATTTGTACATGTATTTCATTTTCTTCTTTTGGTTTATGTTTTTTGGTTAATAATTTTTGTTTTTTTTTTAATTAAAGTTGATATTATGTTTTTGAACTAATGTTTGAGCAAGCCCAGGTTCAGTAGTTATTAATTACCAAGTTTATCTAGGGCTATTAATGTTATTTCCAGTTGTTAGTGAAGGGTATCATGGTAATTTAATGGTAACAAAGAATATTGGGATTAGACCCAGCAATAGACGTCATTAGGTTGGAAGCGTTAACAATAGTTAATTGATGTTACCAGCCTCCGCGAAATCAGTAAAAGCTGCCTAATGCATTTCCATTGTTACACCATTGATTAATCTCTTTTGGACTTCAATCTCCTGGGTTAAATTGTTTCTTTTGTTGTTTATTTGGTGTTGAAATCGGGTTTTGCTTTTCGACCCCATTGAATTAATTGAATCGGGTTTTGCTTTTCAACCCCATTCGGGTTTTTTTACAACCCCATTGAATTAATCACCTCCGAACTTCCAATCTCCTGGGTTTTGCTTTTTTGTGTTCGTCGTCGCTTGTTTGGTGCTAGCATAGCCTTGAATTTGGACATTGTGGGTGGATGGGTTGAATTGGGCTCTTTAAAGGTAAGTGTTTCAACTGATATTTACTTATTACAATATGAGTTTTTGACATTGCGGTGGATATAGCCTTGAATTAGGCATTGTCTAACTTTTTATTACTGTATTTGCTCAATTGGGTTGAATATAAGATTAGATTTTGTAATTGGGTCGACTATAAGATTAGATTTTGTAATTGGTTTTGAATAACTAAATTAAATTTTGTAACTTTGACATTGTGGTGGATATAGCCTTGAATATGGGAATTGTTGAACTGTGTATTTGCTCAATTGGGTTGAATATAAGATTAAATTTTGTAATTGGTTTTGAATTAAATTAAATTTTGCAACTGGGTTTAAGTCCTGATGGTACTAACGACGTTTGTTTGCTCTGTCAAGTTCCTTTAGATGCCAGTTGGACAGTTGGCAAAGAAAATAGTTTTTTACTCTAATTTTGTACATTCCAATGCCTTTTATTTACAATAATGCCACTTGATAAACATGGGAAGTTTATTTAGGAGATAAATTTGGATTTTCCCCTAATGTTATTGGGGTACTATATACATTTTTAGGGTCAATAGTCATCAAGCATGTGTGACATTAACACGACATCAGCTGCTTGACCAAGACCTGCAAAAAGGACTGATGTATGCTGCAAATTTATGAATTTGATTGGGACTAGCTAGTTTGAGATAACAACGTAATAGAACTCGTCCTTTGGGATGTGATAGTCTACTATCCTGCCAACAAAAGATAATATATTGTTCTCCAAATATTAGTATCTCATTGGAGCCTTATAATTAGTCACTGTGCGATTTTTGGTATTTTCTCTGTAATATTGTTTTTCTACTGTGCTGTATCTTTCTGGATGGACTATTATACAATGAGTTATGTTCGTTGAGATTTGACATAATAATGGCTGAAATTATATTTTTCTAGGGTAACTACCACAAAGAAGCATGATGTAGTTGAGGAATCGCAGCAGTCATCATTATGGGGCAGCCTGAAGTTCTTCGCAAGCAATGTTATTAGCAGGTGGCGAAAAACATGAATTATGTTCTTGATAGAGAGAATGACAAGATTGTATAGAGAGAGCTAACATGTGTCAGGAACAGCAAGTACTTGTGATGCGTCTATTATGATTTGTTTAAAGATTGTCACGGCATCCATGATAAATCTGTAGAGGCGGAAGTGCACTTACTGGTTTTTTTTGTACCAGTCAAGTTAGAAAGAGAACCAGACAAATCGTTCCATATTCATCATCTTTTTGAAAGAGCAATTCTTTTTAGCAGGAACAAATGGATCAATTGTTAGTGATTTTGGATTATAGGTCAAACAAGTTAGGAGGGTAATTGTTGTAAAGACTTGTTTTAATTTTTTGTTCATTTATTGATCCTAGAATTCAAGATTGGTGATTTAAGTTATCATTCTCAATCGTGCGAGGCGCAATAAATTTTTCCCCAGCCCAACTCCCTCACTATTTTTTTTTTTTTTTTTTGGACATGTGCTTAATGATATCTAAAAGAAATTATTACAAGACATTAAGCTATAATTTGTCATAGTAGCTAGGATATGTGCCTTATCCACCTTGATCATCTGGACTTTGTGGATACTATACCTTTTAAAGGACCACAAATGTGATCCAATGTCCATTGTAAACCGAAATCTATAGCTTGTCTTTCCTAGGCATCCCATCGCTAGTGAGTCCATAAAAATTGTAATTGCCTACACTAATCGTTGAGCTGCCTATAGCAGTCCTTTGATACAAGTATTCATCTCTGCATGTAAAGTTGAAATAGCTAAGCCATGGTATGCACATCCCAAGTTCCATAAGTACAATTAACAGAAACATAAGCACAACATCCCATCCCAAATCTACGTGTGGTTATTCCACAAGCCGTCAATTAGGATAATTGTAGGAAAGAGAAATCTAGTAACACAAACAACTGCGCAAACCTTAGAAAATGATCCGGACATTGTTTGGGTGGATGCAAACACCTCAAAGTATCCGAAAATTTTCAGTAATGGACTTATGTTTTCTGAAATAATAGTAGGTGTGGTAGAATTTTAAACAGCAGAAATTCTAAACACCCTAGTATTCCTCGCAAGCCACAAACCCATCTGTTGATTCCATACAGAATCCGTTAATGGACCTCACGTGAGATAAAATTGTGTACGTGAGCTCCATTAACGGATTCTTATACAAGAATCCATTACTCTATATATCAGTTGATATTTAGCCACACGTAGATAAAATCCGTGAAGCTATTAATTACTCCATACAAGAATCCGTTAATAGAATTTGAATTGTGCTTATATAGAGTAATGGAGCTTAATGTAAAGCGAGAATAAAGGGTCAATGCTTAAACCTAATTAATATTTATCCAATATATATATATATATATATAGGACCAGGTTATAATGAGAACCAATCCTATAATAGGAACTAGGAACTAATCTGGATCGTCAGATCTAAGAGATGAGGCGCGCAATCTAACGGCCCAAATTAATTCAGACAAATTGAATGAGGCACGAAAATTTCAGGCGCCATTTTCTCTCTCTTCTCTCTCTCTCCTCCGCCATTTTCAACAGCTCAAATTCTTCGAAAAACCACCATTTTCGCAATTTTCAACTGCTTAATTACTCTATATAAGCACAAATTAAGTTCTATAATCTACATTTCTTCAGTTTCGAAACAAAAATCGCGAAAATTAGCAAAAATTGGCGAAAATTAGGTATTATTTCAAAACTTTGAAGTTCATACTCTTTAGTCTAATTTTGTTTGTTTGAATTTGTTAAATTTGAAGAAGCAGAAGTTGAATTGAAGTAGTTCGAAGTTCAATTTTGGTGTTTCGAAGTTCGATATTAGGTATTTTCGGAATTTTGTTTGTTTTTGTTTCAATTTTGTTTGATTTACTTTTAATTTCTGGTTAATTTTGTTGTAATCTATTTTAAAATTGATTAGAAGATAATTCGAAGTTGAATCAAAGGTTTTATTTATTTATTTATTTTTTACGAATTTTGCCATAAATTTAGATCTGTTATTTTTTTTATATGAATTTCGGTATAAATTTATATAAGATTTTTTTTTATAGAATATAGGTAAAAATTTGAGTAAATTTGGTTCTATTGCTACTAGTTTCGAGTAATTTTAGTTAATTTTTGAGTAATTGTTGCTAATAGTTAAAAGAAATCAAATAAAAGTTGATATAAAATAATTAAAAGTCAATAAAATAAAATCATGAATTTGGAGTAGTTTCCTTTGAGTAATTTTGAGTGGTTTATTTTTACAAGTAGATAGAAATTTGCTAAAAGTAATTGATTAAAAGTTAATGAATTATTGTATGATCTGTAGCTATTATGGCTTGTGTAAAAATCAAGAAATTGATGTTGTTGAAATGAGGATTGGTTTTTTTTTTTTTTTTTTTTGTTTCGAAATGTTGCATGTATAGAAATCATATGTTGCTGTTATTATAATAACAAGAGTTGATTTGAAAGTATATATATCAGGTAGTGTAAAACCATCAAGTATAAATCGAGAAAACATGATTCATTTTTGTTTTGAATTGCATGCAGATTAAAATGACGAAAACTACAAAAAAAAATGTTGCAAAAAAACCTCAAAAGGAATCTCTTGCAGCAAAGAAAGCTCATACAGGGAAAAAAGCTGCTCCTGCTGCCAAGAAAGCTCCTACAGCACAGAAGATAACTCCAAAGAAACCTGCAAATTCAAAGCAATCTCCAATTAAAGGTATATTATCTTGAAGTAAAAGATTCATTTTATAAAGTAAATAGAAACAGTTATAAGTAAACCATTTGCCTTTATAAGTCTATGATATCAATATAAATATTATGATGCATACTACTACATGATTGATCATAAAAGTAAATGATAAGTTAAATAAAGTAAATAAAATGCTTATAAAGTAAATATATATGTTTTTAAAGTTATTTAACATGTTTTATATGTATATACTCCTTGTATTAACATAAACTCATTGTTAAACTTAACTGTATTATGTGCTACACTTCAAAGGATTTCAAAAAAACAAATACCGATAAAGAGAATGCTTAAGGAACTAGAACCTTCAGAAGGTTTATAATAGTTTATTGTATTAGGATCTAAAGTTAGATTGATATGTTGTGAATTAGGTTGTTTATTCTTGAATATTTTAATTTTAAAAGTAAATGTTTTAATATCTTTTAGTTTAACAAATTATAGGAACCAAAAAAGGGACAAAAGCTGAAGTTAAAGATAACAATTATGAACCAAAAGAAGATAAGAATGAAGAATCTGATGGATCATCTGAAGAAGACAAAAAATACAAAGCTCATTTAAAGAAGAAAATGAAGCTTGACAGTTCAGATAAGGAGGTACATGAAGTTATAGAGGTTAAAGAAGGAAGTGACGATGATGATGGTAATCTGGACATCAAGAAAACACACTGCAGACCAAATGCAGTATTTGATATGATCAAGGATTTCAGTGAGAGACAAAGATTAGATGTCATAAGTGTTGGATTTTGAGGCTTGCTTCAACTAAAACTGACAAAAGTTTCAACAAAGATGCTTCCATGGCTTTGTCATCATTTCAATGAAAACAGTTGTATGCTCAAGATTGACATGATGAAGGAGTTCTCTGTAAGTTCCTATGATGTTCAAGATGTTTTCATGCTTCCAAATGTAATAGAGAACAAGTTAACTTATAAGTTAAGGAAGCAACCTATAGCAAACATGGTGATTCAAAAGGAATGGATGAAGAAGCTAGGAATTCTAGATAGTGAGGACATCTTTGTGAATAATTTGGAGAATAAAATAAAGAGTCTAAAGGAAGGAGGGATGATTTTAAAAGGTTCTTTGTGATGTATGTTTGCAGCACATTCTTGGCCCCTATTGCAAATAGAGTGATAGATTACAAGATAATCAACTATGCAGACAATGTAAAAGAAATACGTAACCTGGATCGGTGTGGTTATGTACTCAATAACTTGTGCAAAGCAGTAGGGAGCTTCAAGAAAAACAAACATAAGGAATCAAGAACAGGAATCAGTGGATGTGTCCTGATTCTTCAGATTGTATACTTTCATCACCTTTCATTTAGAGTGCAGCCTGAACCAATAATATTGCCCTTGATCAAACATTGGACAGATGAGAAAGTAAGAAAAAGAATTGCAAGTGAAGCAAAAGCATTATTTGGTCAAGGAGAAATCCAGAAAGATGTGTATCCAGTTTGTAGAAAAGGAGGTTAACAATCATATTTAGGTGATGTTATTAAGACTGCATATAGGAATTTTGCTGGCAGAGAGAGAAGATTAGTCTCTTTCAACCTTCCAGATGGTGTTATGACGGACAATGAGATACATGAGGCTGTACATGATGTGAGTATTTTTTCTAGCTCCAAGTTGGATTATTCTAGCTTGCAAAGATGTCTTGTATATTGATTTGTTAGGTTTTTTTTATATTTACTTTGGTATGTATTTTGCTTTTCTTTGGCTGCTTCTGCTCTGCCTCCTGCTACTGTTATGCTATTTTTCTAGAACATTGCTGCTTGCTATGTGTTTGTTAGGCTTTAAGTAAAATAGCTTATAAGATTGTTTAAGTGATAACCTTGAAAAGAATAGTATAACTAGTAGCTTACTGATAAACCCAAATTTACCATGGAGATTGGTCACAATTTCATATGTTATATTTATTTGTTCTTCTTCTAGTAGTAAATGTTTAGTAAATGCTAAACAAAAAGTAAATAAAATACACTGCAAAGTAAATAAATTAACTTTAAAAGTAAGTAGTATTATTTATCAAGAGTATTGTAATAATAAATTTTTGTTATTTATTTGAAGGAAGTTGAAGAAGATCTGCTTTTTTTGGCTAGAGATTCAACACTCTTTTCAATGTTACATGCCGAGCGTATAAACTGCATAACAGATAGGATTAAAATGCAGAAAGCGAATTTGTTTGCATTGGATTCTCAACTATTTTCTGAAACACAAAAGCTGAAAGAAGACCATAGAGTGCAAAGGGCTATTGATGAAATAGTGAAGATTTACGATGATTTGAGAGATGTATCTAATGTGTTTCTATCAACATGGGAGGAGCAGCATTAAAATCCTGAAACTAATCCAGATTATGATAGAGATAATCAAGATGGTGCAGATGCTACTTCAAATTTTATACATGATGCTATTAATTTGGATGATGAAAATGAAGAATCTGAAAAAGAGGAGGAAAAGGAAGAGGATAAAAACGAAGAGGATGGAGAAGGATGGAAATAAAGAAGAGAAGGAAGAAAACAAAGAGGAGAAAGAGGAAGATGAGAAGGAGAAAGAGAAGGATGAAAAGCAACAAGAGAAGGAAGCTAAAGTTAGTGTAGCAGTTGATGCAAATACTGCAAACCAGCCAGTTGATGGTGATGATATTGATGAAGAACCAAATGAAGACCTCGCTAATTTAGTAAGGTCGATCACTAAGAGTATCCTAAAGGATACTGTTGTTCAAGAGAAGCAGCCAAATGTTATAAAGAAAGCAACAAAAAAACCAATTGAAAGTAAGTTGTTAACAAAAGAAAGTAAATATTGTATAAAAGTAAATACAAATCAATTAAAAGTAGATAGTGTATGGTTCTTTGAAACTACATCTGCTGTTTTTATTTCAAGTGATGGTGATAAAAAACCTGTTGCAGAAGAAACCATTGTGCTTAAGAACATTCACCAAGAGATAGCTTCAAAGATATACATCAATGTAGATTGTGGAGAAAAATATGTTTAAGTTAATTTCGTTTCAAAGTCGATGAGAAGCAACAAATCATGAATTAATGAAATGCCAGAGGTGTATCAAGTAGTGGTTGATTACTGCTTTGTGAAGTACAGTGCATTCAAACAGTAAGTTATGAAATTTTTTAATTTTAAAAATATTCTATCTACTTTAGTTAATATTTAATTTACTTTAAATAATATTTAATTTACTTTATAAACACTTAAATATGCACAGTGAAGAGCTTGTGAAATACGAAGCTCCACTCATGATAACAAGGGATGACACAGTATCCCTAGCCCCAACTGCCCCCCCCCCCTCAAATGATAAAATCCAATATAGTTCGATGTTGGTAATTTCTTATGAATGATTCACGATTGAAAGAAGATCCATCATGCTTTTTCTTTGGCATTGACCACAATGTAAGCGTTATATTAAATGTTTAGCTAAAAACATAATTAAATGTATATGATCTAATTAAGTAACATGTTTTATGTCCTCATTAATACACAGAGACCTCTAGAGCTGTCTCTCATGTCATAAGATCCTTCCCAGCCAACTCAAAAAATAGATGAAAAAAATATACCATCTCCTTCAACTTACGCGATAGAATTGAATCAAGCATGGTATGATTGGATGTGCCTATGTGATGCAAAGGAGAAAATTATGATAGCTCATTTGGTATGTTTTATTATTCATGTCAATTAAACTACATTGTAGGGTATTATGATTTTGATTTTGTAGACTAATAAGTGTAATTTTAATGACAGATCTTTGTTCTAATCTGTGTAAGTAATCACTATAGTTTGGTAGTGGTTAACTTGTTGAAAGAGACAATTCAATACTTGGGTAACAGGGAGTATGATGACAGGCATAGGCCTTTTTACAAAATTCTTGCATCTCTTGTGGTAAGATTTTTTAATTTCTCAAAAGTAAATTATTATTAATATAAAGTAAATGACATTACTATTAAAGTAAATAAGTTTGTATTAATACTATACATTATTATGCATGTAAAAAGAATAAGATAAAATATAAAGTAAATGATGTTCTCATTAAAGTAATACATATGCTATTTAGAGTAAACTGTATTGTAAATTTGTGTTACTTATACATTGCTTTACAAATGTTATAGGTGGAGGAAATGCCAAACTTCCTGAAGAGAATTAATCATGAAAAAGCTGATGAAATACTAGATTATGAGTTTGATGAAGTTAAGTTCAAGTTGAAAACACCAAAATATACTCTTGATTGTGGTGTTTTTACAATGATGCATATGTTGTGTTTTACCGGAGACCCTTTTGATTTTGACCTTGATTTAGCAAATAGGAGAAAGGTGTATCGTGCAGAAATATGTGTTGCACTTGGTTTGGCAGAGATAAACACTGAAAGAAAAAGTCTTGTGGAAAAAGTTTCAAGGTTCAGAGTAGTTAGAAAACTTGAGCAGGAGAAAGAGGTGAAAGATATGATATATGTTTCCGATTTCTAGAAAACACACAAAGAAGTAATGGAAAACATGAGCTTGAAATGTAACCAAGTGATTGACTACTTAGCAATCAATGATGATGAAAAATTTCCAAACAAGAGGTATGTGTTATACTTGCAAATAAACTAACACTCCTGTTGCATTATATATTAAATTGTTTGGCATAAATTTAATTTAACATTACAGCGAAGTAGTAGGTTGGTTTGGAGAATCAATTGAAATAATAAGGGAAGATTTTAACACTTTGCTCAATGAATGGAAAGCTTCAACTAATCTGATCACTGCTTGGTTAAACCACCTCAATAAGAATGAAAGGCAAAAAGAGAGGTCTGAAAATGACATGGTCATATTCTACTTTGGACTTGACTTTATGGTAAGTTTTTTACGTTTACTTTTATAATATAAAACTATGCATTGTATAAATATGTGAAATAAACTTGGGAATTTTTTTGCAGGATGCTTTAACTATGTGTTTGAATGCACATGGGAAAAAGGGAGTAACAAGTCTGCAAAAATTATGGATTGATTGGACAAAATCACAACCATTGGACTTGGATGCAGTTGAATGTGTAAGATATAGAATAAATACTTAAAGTAGAAAAATATATGTTTAAAGTAATAAAAAACAGCTTTAAAGTATATATGTTTAAATATTTTTTATGTGCAGGTATTTATACCTCTGAAGCAGGAAGATCATTATTTTCTTGCTATCATAAACTTAAAAAATGAAACAATTGATCTTTTGGACAATACTTTATACGAGAGCACTGATGAATATGAGCCTGTATAAAGTTTTATCTTAGAAACGGTAAAGCATAAATAGATTAATAAAATGTCATTAAATTCATTTTTCAATGTATCATATTACATTAATATTCATTCCATTGTAGATCATACAAATGCAGAAGGTGTTTTAAAAAAGAAAGCATCCAAAGGCAAATGATATGTTATCATACAAGCTGAGAATAACTGAACTTCCATTCCAAAAAGAAAGACAAGAAAATTACTCAGGAAGCTATCTAATGCTGCACATGAAGGTGTATGATGGTGTTAATGAGATAGGATTGGGAACCTTAAATTGAAAGAGGTAAGTTACCATAATAATTTCTGAAGTCCTTAAATTCTATCAGTTATATGGATTACTTAGAGCATAATTTATTAAAACTAAAGTTAATCTTTTGTTTTTTATAGGAATTTCAAAGATTGAAACACCATCATATAAAAACAGTACTTGACCTACTTTTCAATGGTAACAATCAAATGCAAGAGAAACTGCTAACAAATGTTAAGGATTGGGAAGAGAAGAAAACACAAAAAGCATGTAAAGAATTGTAAATGTTTTTAATAGATTTGAATATATCATATGCATTAGAGTACTTTAAGTTGTATAGTATAATCCAAAACATTAGTTTGAAGGTTTAAGTAGTATGTTTGTATGAAGAATACATATTATATCTCTGAGTTGAAGTAGTAGAATTATTCTTTTTAAAAAATGGTGCTAGATATAAAAGTAGAAGAAATCAATCAAAAGGTAAATGAAAAAAATGTTAAAGTAACAAGAACTCAGTTAAAAGTAAAAGAAAAAAGTTTAGAAAATGAAGTCTTTTTGAAATATAGTGTTCGATTTTAAAGTAAAGAAAAATACTGTTAAAATAAAAGAAATTACTCCAAAAGTAAATGAAATTATCATTAAAATAAAAGGAACAAATTTAAGAGAAAAAAAGTTCAAAAAATAGTCAAAAATATGATGTTCGATTTTAAAGTAAAGGGAATTACAATTAAAGTAAAAGATATGAAGTTAAATGTAAAAGAAAAAGTTTAACAAGTTTTGTTACCATGAGACCATGGGGGAGTATTAAAAATGTTATAAATGTGGTCCCATGCTATTTTTAGAAATGTGTCAAGTATTTTGGGATGGATAAAAATGGAAATCGTGCCACGTATTCTGGGATGAAGGGAGTAATATAGGATATTATCTTCAATTTTTTAAATAAGAAGGACATTATATGATAATACAATTCATATGATATATTATTTATTGTGAAAGGCAGGAAAAAACAATATCATAAAGTAAATGAAATATTTCATAAGGTTAAAGTATAAGTAAATAAACTGAACTTTATTTCTGCAGTACAATTACTTAGAGTAAATGTAAAAATATTACATAAAAAAAACATTAATATTTCTTCAGTATATCTTTATCTTCCAAAACATCTTTAAATTTCCAAGTATTATAATAACTGCACAAAAATAAACATCAGAAAATCAGTGACAGATTAAAGTAAATAAATTACAATGTAAAGTAAATAAATTTCAACTTAAAGTAAATGAGAAAAGTACAAAGGTAAAATACCTAAAAAAAAGTATTAAGTATAATAACACTTGCACAAAAATAAAAAGTAAATCAAGTTAAATGTTAAAGTAAATAAATAACTGATTAAAGTAAATGTAACACATGTAAAAGTAAAATACCTGAAGAACTACTTGTTTGGACAGTTTCTACTGTCATGTGAAACACTAGATTGCCCACAAGCTCTACGGGTTCTGCCCTTTTTGGATTTTTCTTCATAAGCTATTTCTTTTGCACTCTTCAACCACTTTGAACTTATGGAAGAACCTTTATTAAGACACTGATTTGGAAGCAAGATGTTTACATCTACTTCATTTGACCCAACCATAACCTGAATATCAGCATCTTTCACCTCTTTTGAACTAGTTGCATTTTCAGGATTATTCTTTGTCAGCATTTGCTCCTCAAATGAAGATAATTTCCTAATAAGCTCAGATAAATCATCCTCAGATTGCTCAGATAAACTCACACAACTGAAAATCTTGGACCACACATCACTCAACAATTGCTTCTTCTTATCATACTTAGAAGCATCATCTAGAACATCATTTATGGCTGAAGCTTTCTTCAGAATGTCTTTTCTCAAACGATTCATGATATAAAGATTAAGAATTTTATGTATAGACTTGCCTTTCATAATAAACAGAATGTGTCTACATAAGATGCCTTGACTCTAAAACTTAATACAAGTACAACTGCACTCATATGTGGCCAAGTCAAAATGTACATCAAAGTTTTTCCTTTTCTCATGATCAATAATTACAGAAAACTCCACACCATCTCCATACAGAGAACTACAACTTTCAACACCACATGACAAACAGGCTGCCTGGCATTCTTCTTGAAAATCATAAAAGATGGCACGATTGTAAACAACAACAGCGTGCTTTTCTAAGTGTTAGTGCTGCAATTTGTAGCGCATGTCTTTTCAACAGCGTGCTTTTCTCCATAATTCATAAGGAGTCTTTTCAACAGCTTTTGACGGAGCTCTATTCAGTGTTAGTGCTGCAGTTTGTAGCGCATGTCCCCAGAAAGAGATAGGGAGTTCACTAAGACCCATCATTGATCGAACCATGTCTAACAAGGTTCGATTCCTCCGTTCGGACACTCCGTTCCATTGAGGAGTTCCGGGGGTGTCCACTCTGAAAGAATGCCATTTTCTTTCAAGTGATCGTCGAATTCATGGCTCAAATATTCACCACCTTGATCCGATCGAAGTGATTTAATTTTCTTGCCAAGTTGATTTTCAACTTCTTTCTGAAATTCTTTGAATTTCTCAAAAGATTCAGATTTATTCAACATTAAGTAGATATAGCCATGTTTACTATAATCGTCGGTGAAAGTGATGAAATATCGGTAACCTTGTCTTGCGGGTGTACTCATTGGTCCACATACATCCGTGTGTATTAGACCTAATAAGTCACTTTCCCTTTCTCCCAACTTGGAGAATGACTGTTTTATCATCTTGCCTAATAGACATCCTTCGCAATTTTCAAACGACTCTAAGTCGAATGAGTCAAGAACACCTTCTTTGAAGAAGTTTCTTGATGTGCTTGATGTTAATATGGCCAAGACGATAATGCCACAAGTAGGTTTGATTCGACTTGATGGTCTTAGTTCATTTGGTATCATTCCTATTTTATTTGTGTAAAGCATGCAATTTAATTTGAACATATGTTTGAAAGATAATCTTTGAAACAAATACGTTAGAAGTCTTTCATTTCAAAAATCTTGGTGTCCAACACCATTGATCAAAATATTGTTCAAAAGCATGATAAAACTAGGATTAGTTTTAATTATATCTCAAAGATAAAATGGTGCATGCAAGCACGACCGAAAAACCATCTTCGTCGTCTTCTTGCTCTTGCACCAACACTTGATAAGCTTTTCACTTGGTTCCTGAAAAGGCAACATAAAGTGAGTCATACTTGGTATCCAATACCTTATGATAAGCTTAATTCACAAGTGTTTAGGAAGATACCTGAGGTAGTCGGAATGATCCCCTCTTCCTTGAAGAGCATGCATTCTCTCTTGTAGTGGCCTTACATGCCATAATGGAAGCATCTCATCTTTGCCTTGACCTTCTCGAACTCCTTCTTCTTAGCTCTCAAGGGCCTTTTGGTCATTCCATAGGCGGTGGATTGGCTAAGAAGTTGCACCACCTCCTTGAGGGAGTGTATCTCCTTTCCCACAGCGATATGCACTCTAAGTACATCATAGCCCGAGTGGAGTGAAGCAAGCAAGATATGCCCCGCCATCTAATCTTCCAATGGGATTCCGAGAAGCTGCATGTGTTTGAAGACTCTAGTCATTCCAAGCACATGAGGTCGGAGCGACATGCCGGGTCTCAATTTGGCATTGTAGACCTTTATCCAAAGCCGGCGCCTTTCCTTAGCAAGAAATCCCACGTTTGGTGGCTTTATCCTCATGTTGGAAAGTGATCTAGTCAAGTCAAACACGAGGCCATCAAAGTTTCCATTGTCACTCTTGGTGAATTGACAACGTCCTCAAGAGCTTTGAGGAACATGTCTGGGAGATAGGAGGTAAGACTTTCCTTCCAATCTTCCGGGATGGAATTTGCCATAAGTCGTGAGACCTTTTTGCAATTTGAAGATCATTCTTCATGAGCCTCATCGGTCATGATTCCTTTGGCAAAGAAGCTTGGAATGGGAGTATCAAGAGTATACTCCAAGGAACAATTTTGGAGAGTTCTCCTGAGTTCCTCCTCCCATTCCTTGAAGTTGACCAAGTTTAAGGAAAAGGCCAACTTCTCGGGGAAGTCCGGGCACATATGGTCGTTGTTTGAGTTACTTGCTGACATGGTTCTACAATTGAAAGAATTTGAAGTGAAAAACCATTCATAAATCAATAAGTTGAAATTTAAAACGTTCATGCATATATTCAATCTTATTGAGCATTTTATCCACGCATTTAAAATGTCCCTTATGGGCGAGAATAAAATGATTCCGTGATCCCAAAGATCAAGAAATGGTTAAACATGCTTTGGCTTGTCTTAATCATTAAATATCTTAAGGTAAGCAATCTAAATGCTAATAGCTCCAAGCTACTCCCGATTTGATAAAATGTCGCATCTAATGCATTCTTGACATTTTATCTCTTTTGCCACGACATCTAAGGATTCCTTACATATATCGTTGAGCTTAACTAAGACAACTTGTATACCTAGTATACCTTACGTTCCTAGGGAAGTAGTGATGCCTCTCTTTGGCGTAATCCATCACTTACGCGCATTAGTTCGGTAAGTGTTGTTCTTGGAACGACAAATTTTAGCTCAATATTATTAAGGGACCTAGGGTTTCTATGTTGGTTGACTTAAGTGAACTTAACTAATCGTCGCAACATAATAGAAATCCTAGACATGCATCTAGTAATCATATATAATAACAATATATATAAGGCATAAAAATAGATGCATTTAGCAACTAGCATGACCCCTTGAAATCTTCAATTTCCATGGGTCTTCATCTTGGCTCGTCTTCATCGAAACGCCGTCTTGAGACATCTTGGCCAAAATAGAATAAAAGAAGCTAGCTAGAACAACTAAGATTAATCTAATAGTACAAAAATACTTAACGGCTTGCAGACCGTATTTAGATTTACAAAAATACATAACGGAACGTAGTCCATATTTTCTATCCTAGTCGGGCCCCACTAGTTGCCATTTTCAAAGACCTGTTTTGAATAACAATCTTCCATTCATCCATTCACTATTTGTGAATAGCACATGCAATTTTACGAAATACATAATTAAACATGCAAAACTACTAACTAACTTAGGTGGTTAATCCAATTAACACGCCTAATTAAAACTAGTCAAAATTGTTTAATCCATTATTTCTAAAAGCTCACGCAATTAATTAAGCTCCCACTAAATTCCGCATCCGTACTTAATTAATCCGATGAATTAAGTCGGCATAACCCAAAATTTGTCAAATTTTGTAAAACCGAAAATTGAGGTTTTTAGCCTCGTTAAATAATTACATAAATAATTTAAAACGGCAAAATTTTCGCAAATATACATAGCTCAAAATTAAGCAACGAGGCCCCATCCTAGCATAATGCATGGCGCACCATGGCTGCTAGGCAGCAGTGGGCTGGCTGGCTGGGGCTTGCTGCCTCGCTGCCCAGCAGCAGCACAAGCTCGCTAGCAGCTTATGCCTCACACGCACTAGCAGCATTAAGGGGCTGGGCTGGCGCTTGGTGCTAGCATGCTGCGCCCAGCACATCACACTACGCTGGCCAGCACCACGCATGCCTGCACGTATGCTGGCGCCTGGCAGCAAGTGGGGGCTGGCTGGTGCTTGCTACCATGCTGCCCAGCAGCGCTCCCAAGCACCCAGTAGCCAAGGCCACTGCCCAAGCCCAGCCTTAGCACCCCTCGCCACACAGCCATGCAACATTGATTCTTAGCCATGCGCACACCATAGGCAGCCTACATGTGGGCTGCTAGGCAGCCCGGCTAGCCTTGGTGACGCTTGCGGTTTTGCATCGATTTGCGTGCATTTTACTCGGGATTTTAATTCCGATTTGTGTGTGACAATAATTAATTCCAAACTACATTTTAGAATCAATTTGAGGGAACATAAAATAAAATAAGTCTAACTTAAATAATTTTTATTTTATTGGTGCACAAGCCTAAATTATCCAAAATTTTTAATTTTGAACAAAATTAGGTCTAACTTTATGCTTAAAATAAAATGAGCTATGTCCATAATTAATCTTGCCAATATGCAAATTAATAATGGGTTTGACAAATGGGAGTTGGAAAAATAAATTAACCATCCAATGATAAAAATTTTCCAACTTTCATACTTGTGTAAAATACCAAGATTACATCTTCCAATATGAAGATTAATCAAATTTTACTCACAAGTAACTGAACTTGATGGATTTTAATCAACCAAACATGAAAAATCCAAACTTTGTTCAACATGGAATTTAGGGTTAGGGTTCCAATCATTTAAACCTTTAAAGATTAGAACTTTAACATTATAGGAACTTAAAATTACAAGATCACAACAAGCTTTCACATTTTATTGCAATTTATTTGCAAAATTTGTGAAAAACAAGTTTATGTGAAAAATGGCATATCAACTTAAGCACTAATAAAACTTCCATTATTATGCTTAAGGATATTTTAAAACCAGTAGATTAGTGATTTAAATGTGCATTTAATCTAACCTTGTAATGCTTGCATTAATCAAGGCTTAAAAAGAATTAAAGTTTTCGTTGAAAATCGAAAAAACCCAGAAAAAATGGATTTCTGGTTCAAATTTGGCTTCTGGACAGTTTTAAAAGGGTTGAATCTGTTCCAGAATGTCGATTCCACCCAAAAATCACTATTTTTGAGGCAAAATCTAGGTTCGACAGCCAAATCGAGAATAAAATCAAGTTTTAAAATTAATTAAAACGAGCATCTAATCTAATTAGAAGAACATGAACCAGAAAAATAAATTTTTTAAAAGACCTTAATTAAAATTAATTGCAAAAATTAAAAGGAGCGTGGCTCCGATACCGCTGTAGGGTTTCGTAGTGAGTCGACACTACACGGAAGGAAACCCACCAAGACCTGCC